CATGTTCTATGATTCCATTTATTTAACACTCTTGAAATGACAAAATTATCATGATAAAGGACAGATCAGTGGTTGCCAAAGTTTAGAGCTCGAAGGGGATTCTGACTATAAAAGGGTAGCATCTTCTTTATGATAGAGTAGTTCTATATTCCGATAGTGGCGGTTACAGAAATCTATATATGTGACAAAATTTCTTAGTGTGATATACGCGCACAAACTGGTGAAATCCAAATAAGGATTTTAAGTTAGTAAATACTACTGTGCCAGCACTAATTTCCTAGTCTTGATAACGTAGTATGGTTATGTAAGATAGTATACAAAGCTAAGTGAAGGATACAGGGGAACTCCTTTTACTGTTTTGCAACTTCTTGTAAGTCTTAAACTGTATCAAGATATAAGGTGTTTTATAAGACCATCATTTTTGGTAGTGCTTGTTCACAATATGGCAAGAAATTAAACCAATCAAAAGTTTGGAAAAAACGTTTTCCAACATTTCTCAAGAATGGATTTGCTTGCGAATACCAGGCAAAAGTGTTACATTAAAATAAAAAATTGAAGAGACCACGACTTATGTACTAAGGTAAAAACAAATTCCATGAGACAAAAGTACAAACCAGGGCTACTTTAAAACTGGTGATACTGTTGGTCCCCATTCAATTAGACAACCCTTCTTTGTACATGATGCTTTATAATAGATATGTTTATTTTAGGGGAACTAATTATCAATTGAATTCATCATAAAAATCACAATGAGTCACTACAGTCTTGTTCGCACATGTAAATCCCTACTTATATTTATATTCATTTCACACCTCCTTACACAGAAGCAGAACTAGGAGAAAGTGTTGCAAGACGTTTTGGAACCACTAAGGTATTTTACTGGATTTAATCAGTTTGAGTAACTTCTACAAGAATAAATGGGTATACAAAGTTTATTAGAAGACACACAAAATCAGATTCTTAACAACATAAACTGTATTTTGAGTTAATAAAGGCAAAATAAATATGGATTCAAAAGTTCTTTTCAGTAACTAAAACAATTTTTCTACATATTACTTTCTAATGAGAAATTCATTTTAATTAGAAGTGACTAAATATGAAACAGTGAATACAATGTAGAGATAGTTTAATATAGTGTACTGAGAGTTGATATGATCCCCTGTTTTTAATGACTTTCCCCTGTTAATCAAAGGGGATCTGGAAATATGTTCTATTAGAAAGAAAAATCTAGAATATGAACAGTTCTTTTCAGTAAAGCAACAAATAAATGCCAGAGTTTCACAAAGAAAAACTATTTTAAAACAATCACATTAAATGTTGCACTTAAATAATATCTTTAAAAAAATTACTAGCCTTGGGGTGCCTGGGTGGCTCAGTCAGTTAAGCGTCTGACTCTTGGGTTTCAACTCAGGTCATGATCTCACCGTTCTTTAGTTAGATCCTGCATTAGGCTCTGCACAGCACGGGGCCTGCTTGGGATCCTTTCTCCTCCTCTCTCTCTGCCCTTCCCCTGCTCACTCTCTCTCAAAATAAATAAATAAAAACTTTAAAGATTACTAGCCTTTATAGATACTCATATGCCATTTATTGCTCTAGGGCTGACTCAATATGAGAAAACTACTAGGCTTCAACAACAAGGATCCCGTACCAGGGATATGGTGATCATTACAATGGGATACTTTTTCCAACCCTTACATTCACTGAAGTACCTATCAGTGTAGGAAAATGATTCCATTTTGAATCAATTATCTCAATGGTGGCCTCAACCAGGCAAGCTGATTAGACATATGGGTTTCACGCAAGGGCCACTGTTTTACATGCCTGGCATGGACACAGGTCCTACCTTCTAGGAGACTCTAATTTTCCAGGGGGAACTATCCAAGACTGAGACTATAATTTGGTCCTGGTGATTTGATTAAATATTGATTCAAAGATGAACAAGATCCAGCCAAGCCAAGCCAAAAACAGCCAGCATTGAGACTAGCAAAAAATGTGCTTTCCTTTGGGGCTGTGAGCTAGTTGAATGTAAACCTGGAGAATGTTAGCCTAAGAATGAATTTAATTGAAAAGAAAGCAAGAGCCTAGGGATAAAGAAAAACATTTTTGGAGTCAAGTGAGTACCTGGGTGTAGCCGTACTGAAGCTTTACAATTACATGAGTTTCAAAAAAAAAGAAAACTCCCTTTATCACCTACTCTGGCTTTTTGTCATTTTCAGTGAAAAGTTAAGACTGACAGGGGTGCCCGGGTGGCTCAGTTGTTTGGGCATCCGATTTCAGCTCAGGTCATGATCTCACGGTTTGTGACTTCGAGCCCCACATCAGGCTCTGTGCTGACAGCTCAGAGCCTGGAGCCTGCTTTGGATTCTGTGTCTCATTCTCTCTCTTACCCTCCCCCACTTGTGCTCTGTCTCTCTCAAATAAATAAATGTAAAAAAATTTTTTAAAAAAAGTTGCAACTGACAAAACTTACTGGACAATGTCCAAATTATTCCAAACTCCAAAATCCTGTAAGTCTAAGTTTAAAAAAAAATTTTGCAAGTAAAAATCTATTATTGATTGAAATACCTATACTAACAATTTTTAAAAATTAGTGTGTTCATGTAAAAGAAAAATGGACCATGGAGTTGAATGATTCAATATAATTCTAATTCTGCCAATTTGCAATGTGAATCTGACCACCTAATCTTTCAGGGCTTCTATGAATATGAGACTATGAGGGATAGACTGACTAGCTAATCTTTAAGCTCTTACCACGTCCTTAATTTTAAGCATTGTAAGAAAACTGTCACTTTGTTAATATGACTATAAATGAAGTGGTTATGCTTCATTAATTTATTCCTCCATCAAACATTTAGAATGTCTACTGTTTAGTACACACTGTACCTGGTATTGAGAAGACCGAGATGAGGAAAACTGTGCCCTGCCACCAAGGAGTTTAGTCTAGAAAGGCAGAAAAGCATCTAAACAACTAGATAATTAACCTATGTGATACGTGAAAAAAAAAAAAAATTCAAGTATATATGAAGTACAAAAATAGCCTGGGAGTGACTGATCGTCTGAGAAGAGTGAGGACAAGAGTATCCAAAGCAGGCTCTGTGCTGACAGCAGCGACTCCAAGTTCTTGGGGAACTTATGAATCCCCAAGATCATGACCTGACTCCAAGTCAGACGTTCAACTGACAGAGCCACACAGGCGCCCCAGAAATGAATTTTAAAAGATGAAAAGTAAGCCAAATCAAGAGGACCAGGAGTCCTAGACTGAAGTAGATTTTTCAAGGGTTTTGTAAGCAGTCCAATATTGATGGAGCACAATAGAGTGGGGAGCAAAGAAATGAATGCAAAGAGCTTTTCAAGGATTATGAAGGGTTCCACATGCTATGCTAAACAGGATGGAATTTACCCTGTAAACACTGAGCAGCCCCTGTAAAGATTTTTTTCAAATTAAATTTTTTACTTGTATATAATTAACACACAATATTACATTACTTTCAGATAGAAAATTTATCAGATTTTTAAATGTACTGTTTTTTTAGAGTACAAATAAGCATTCAGTGTTCCAAAACTGTGAATAACATACTAGTTACTTTTAAGAAGCCAGAGAAAAAAATTCATTTAGTTATGTAATTATGCCTTTTAAATAGTATCTGTCTGGCATATTATCTTACAAATTATACTCATTATTTGATAAATATTTGATGACTGAACTGCGGTAGCCAGATTGATATGAGCAGTCATGGTGCTTAATAACAAAGATCTTAAAATGTAGAATGGCAAAAAGTGCAAAAGCTTTCTAATGTTCCTTTCAAGTTTGGGGACATAACCCCCTTCCTCAAAAGTAAACGACCTTTCTGTTAATGGTGTTTCTCCTTCTCTATAAGCTATCCATGGCTTAATCAAAGCCTCTGTTCTTTTCTCTCCCAATTCCCCTCTATTTGATACTCATATGAGAATCCCAGCCATTACCCTAACCCAGAGTCTTCCCGGACACAGTCCAAGACTAAGTTAACTGTCTTTTATAAAATCGTAAACGCTGCCTCCAATCCAAAATCTCAGGAATCCGGTAATAATCAGATTCTAAAATACTCATAAACACTTCAACATCAAACGTCGCCATCATTTCCATAATGCTCACTGCCACGACCCCAGACCACACTTTCATCACTTTAAACCTACGCTACCACAGCTCCACTCTATTTGATCCTACTAATTTCATTAAAGCAAAGAGCACAGAATTTGGTACTACTTAAATTCAGGTGTATTTAATGTGTGTGCGCATTCTAGCCATTTGTTTATGTTTGTTCTTCATTACAGAACTCAATGACTTCTGTCAACAAGATCTGTCACCATATAAGAGTACGTATAAAACCCGTGTTTGCAGACCCGGGGTAACAAATTCAACCCGCACTTTCTGTTCTTATCTCTGGTCCGCAACTCCAGTGGAATCTGAAGCGACAGGGAGGAATGATGGACGGGCAAAAGGGAGGGGAATGCTGAAGCCCAGAGGCTGGGGCCTCACTTCCGATTGCCACGCTACACCAACCAACCCACAAGGCCCTCTGGCTCTTCCATAGTCCACAAGGAAAGGTGGAGCAGACGCCAGTGCTTCTCGGGTAATCCCCAAGAGCAAAGACACAAGAGGAAAATGCTCTGAAAAAGTCTCTTACTCGTTCAGGACTCACCTGTCAGTAGTGGCGTGGACGGCGCCATCTTGTCCCGGAAAGAGAAACCCATGCGCTGGGGTCAGAGTTCACGAGGGCCAAACCCGGCCCCTACACGTCTCCACAGGCGTGGAGACAGCGCATAGCTGTTTCCGGTATCACGAGCCTCGGGGCCAATTCACTTCCGGTGGGAGACGGCAGTAGAAAAAGGAGTCTGAACGCGCACGCGCAGCTCTGGGGAGACACTTTAAAGAGCACTGCGGGGCGGGACTAGTGCTCGTGCGCCTGCCTTTGCCCTCCCCTCTCCCTCTTTTACAGCAGGCGGAGTCCGCACTTCCGCGGGGCGGAGTCCGTCCAGTGCTGACGTTGGCAGCCGAACCCGAAGTAGTTCGAGGCTACGGGCAGCGCTGCTCGGTTGTTGCGTTGCGTTTCCTTCCTCTTTCACTCCACGCTCCCGGCGGCGGCCAGAGCGGCGGCGCGAGAATATCCCGGCGGCCTGCTTGTCGTCCCGCGTGCCCGCTTCTCGGCCGGCTGGTCCGGCGTCGTCAGTCGGCGGCCCGACGCCCGGCTAGCGCTCGGCACCCGAGTTCGCCTCGCTCAGGCCCAGCGGCCGGAGCTAGCGCCCCGCCTGAGAGCCTTCTAGCTCCGGCAGCGCAGGCACCGGGACCAGAGCGTCGCAGCGGCCCGAGGGGAGGCGAGCTAGCGAGTCTAAGGGGTGGCTGAGGCAGGTGGTGGCGCCGTGAAGATGGTCGCCAAGCAGCGAATCCGTATGGCCAACGAGAAGCACAGCAAGAACATCACCCAGCGGGGCAACGTCGCCAAGACTTCGGTAAGGAAAGAGCAGGCGCCCGTCCGTCCCGCAGCCGGGGTTCAGGCCCGGGTCCTAGGATCGAGTTCTCCCCAGGCCCGAGGCCACGAGCTGGACGCTAAGTTGGCGGGGCGGGGCAGGGGGGAGGGTGATTCGGGTAGGTGGGTGCTTGAAGCTAGGCTGTTCGGGAACGGAGGGCAAACCTGTGAGGGGACCTGGAAACCTGGCCCGCGGTGTAGGCTGCAGGAGCCCGGGATCGGATTGGGTTTTTGCATTTGAAATGGGACTTTCCGTTTTTGCAGAGAAATGCTCCCGAAGAGAAGGCGTCTGTAGGACCCTGGTTATTGGCTCTCTTCATTTTTGTCGTTTGTGGTTCTGGTAAGTGTTTTGGGGCTACCATCGGGTAGGGCATTGGATGTCGGGTTTGGGATGACGTGGTGACCCATCAGTGGTGAATCCTACCCGCGTAGTTCTCAACCCACCTGCTGGGAGCTCCACATAAGTGTCTCTCGCCTGAACCAAATTACTTGTCCCACATATGCACAGAGGGTGGTGCTCCAGAAACTTCTCATAGCTTGATTTGTGCTCACAGGAGATCAGAAAAGGAGGTCAGGTCTTCAGTTAGTAGTGATCAAGTTGGAAGAAATTTAGACCAGAACAAAAAAACCTCACGGAATGAGAATTTAGAATGTTTTGCAAGCATATTATGAATGTATTTGCAAAAAACTTAGGAACATGATGTATATGTGGACGTTGAACTGAATTTAACTCTTCCCAAAATCTAATGTTTTTATGGCAAAATTGGGTATATTTTGTAAAGTAAAGCTCGTGCGAAGAATTGGTTGGGTATAGAGGAAATGTACCTGATTGGTAATTTAGTGTAGGAGACAAATGTTTTTAGATTAATTAAAGAAACGTTTGACATATGGGAGGAAAAATAAGTTATCAGGTCAGCCTGCTATTAAAGTAATAGATTCCTGCCTCTGCAAATGGATTACAGAATATTTTTCTTCTTTTCATTTATTTTTTCGATATGCAAACTGTTTATATTGTTTCTGTTTTTTATATTCTGACATTCTAAAGTTACTGAGGTTTCTCTTAAACGTTTCACTTCGCCTGCTTCCTAAACTTACTAGTTGGCCAAGAGCCAAGCAATTTATGTAACCTAAAGATTATTCAATTTCAGCTTTGTGAGAATGAGGAAACATGGTTATATTATAGGCCAGGCCTTAGAAGAACACAATATTTTGGGGATAAATCAAAATAATTCTATGCTAGAAAAACCTGTTTGCTTTGGTGCTTTAAGCTTTTTCTAAAATGATTGTGTATTGCAAAATCTCTTGGACAGTTAGACGTAGAATTCAGAAAAGCTGAAAAAAATAACTTATGGACATTGAATTGGTTTATTAGGGTAGGCTTGTCGTCACTTCTTCAATGAAGTTACATAGCATTTGCAAGTAATTTTAAGGGTGCTCTTGGATTATCATGAAGTACCTTAATGAATATTTGCCAGTTGTCATTCCTATTTAATTCAAAGCATGCTTACTAAAACATTTGTTCTTTCTTTTTACAGCAATTTTCCAGATTATTCAAAGTATCAGGATGGGCATGTGAAGTGACTGACCTTAAGATGTTTCCATTCTCCTGTGAATTTTAACTTGAACTCATTCCTGATGTTTGATACCCTGGTTAAAAACAATTCAGTAAAGCATCCTGCCTCAGAATGACTTTTCATATCATCCTTCATTTGTCATTCCAAGGTTTCTCCATGAGTCATTCCAAGTTTTCTAGTCCATACCACAGTGCCTTGCAAAAGCACCACATGAATAAAGCAATAAAATTTGATTGTTAAGCTATAGTAGTGGACCCTACTTATTCAGTCAGTAAAGAGTAAGTTTTCTTAATGTGGTTGTTAAAACCCTATCCAGTATAGATAATTAGATTAAATCTATGTAGACAGAGTCTAGATTTTGTTAACCCTAATGTGTATATGCAATTAGTTTAATTTAAAATTTGGAGTCATGGTTTTTATATAGTTAGGCACTTTATTACTATATCTTGAATTGAAAGCACACTCCCATATAGGGTAATGTCACTGTCCTGTAATAAAGTGCTTATAAATGGAACAACTACACAGTTAGCCTCGTTTTCCCATAATCTTTAGCACCTAAAATTTTTTAAAAGCTTCTAAATGCCTAATATAAAAGGAGATGCTTATAGCTACAATATCTATTTTAACAATATTATTTCTATTACACTACCTTGGATTTTGCATGAGTAGTTATACTAATGTAAAATGCCATAAGAAAACTTGGTTGAGCATTTTGTAACTTAATCAGTAACTTCAGTTTCACTAAAAGCTACCATGTGGAGTAAAGTCAGGGAAAGTTTATGTCACCGTTGATTTTACCATAATTAATATATCAAAGGGGTCTACTATGCTAGACAATATTTTGGGGAAAAATACTACTAAAAGTGGATGTTTCAATAGGACATCCTGATGAGTCTAATGTGCCATAAGACATCTTAGCACGTTAATAGCACTTTTAATACCAAAAAGGCACATCAACTAAAAAGTTACTTAGTTTGGAAATAATTTTCTGGGTTTATGATTAAAATTTTGGTAGGGCACTAGATACATCAGACTAAAGTGCCATCTGGAATTAAATGGATTTGCTGATAAGGATCAGTCTTTAGTCTTCCCTTTGTTGTATAATTTTATAGGTTATGATTGATCAAAGTTTCTTTTTACTAATGGTAAGGGTGAGAAGGCAGGTTTTAGGTTTTCTGATACTGTTGAGAATTGTAAGTTTTGGCTGTTTACTTAGCCATAACTTGATTAAAAAAAAAAAAAAAAGCCTGAGAGGTGTCTATGTATCAATGAATTGGAAAGAAAGCTGCTTGTTTGCTTTGTTAATTGCCTCAGGATATCTCTTTTAAAATAAGCTGTTTTAAGAGGAACAGAAGGGAAATGTACCTAGTCATACACATTGTGAACCTCAGAGTTTCTGATACCCCTCAATATAGGGGACGAGTGAGGGAGAGGAGTAGTTAAGGATGCTTAGGAACTTGACTACTCTAAAACAGGAAAGGAAGGAATCAGCTGACCTTGGGCCAGCAGGTTTTTATCTGCAGTTACCTGCCTTTCTCACCCAGGAAATAAACACTTGTTTCCCTATGAAGCAAGTGTCTTGATTGACTAATTCTATTTTATTATAACTTTAAAAATGAAAGTTACTGTTCTAAATTTATAGCAGGTGCCTTATTCTTTGCATTGAGTCAAACCATTCCGTATAAAAATTTCCCTTGGTTTACTATAAATAATTGGCTTTAAGATGTTAGGGTTTTGTTGTTTTTTTTTTTTTAAGTTGTACAATGTCTTTATTGATTTGACTGTTAAATTGCTACAGCTAGCAATCATTTTACATATGTAAAGTTGCATTCCTTTTGTATTTCATGTGTGATTTCCTAATTGAGTACATTTTATATTAAGGATGGATTATGCATGTTTGGGTCAATGAAAGCTATGTCTTGATTTATCCTTTAAAAATAAAGTTCCCAGAATATTTGATTCCTTCTGAAAGGAAATGATTTTACAGATTTCTTATCTGAGTGTACTTTTTATAGTTAATAGAAAATTAAAGAATGCCTAGTATTATGTTGTACTTGAGTTAAAAGAACTGGTACCCAGAGACTCAGATTAAAAATTTATAACTGGAAATAGGTAGCAAGAAAAACATTAAAAGTATAGGGGTGCCTGAGTGGCTTGGTGAATTAAGCAGCTGACTCTTGATAGCAGCTCAGGTCATTATTTTATGGTTCATGAGATCCAGCCCTGTCTTGGGCTCCATACCGACAATGCAGAGCCTGCTTGGGATTCTCTCTTTCCCTCTCTCTCTGCCCCCTTCCCTGCTTGCACACTTGCGCTGGCCTGCCCTCAAAAGTAAAATTTAAAAAAAGGAAAACATGAAAAGCACAGTGAATTAAATACTTCTCCACCTAAGATTTACCCTCATCTCATCATTCGAGAAGTCTCATTCGAGGAAAAATCACAGTTCTTTTGATCTCCCTTTCCCAATTGAATTTGGTGTCATCCAGTGTTGAACATAGTATGATGATGCTTTGTTGGGGGTTGTCTACATTGTGTCCAATTACGCTTTGTAACTTAGGTATAACATTTCAAGGAGTTGTTCAGGATTTCACTGTATCTGTTGGGTTGTATGTAATGTTGCTCAGAATAACCAAGTGGGCTTCCAGAATGTGGAAAGATTTTCATTGTAACAGGATGTTTTGTAATGGGCTTTGACTTACTTGGAAGAAGTGTGTGTGCTCAACTGCAGGGTGGTCGCTCTTACTGAGGTTTGTGGTGTTTTGCTGGCATAAAGGAGGACCCTGTAGAGGTGGATTATGTTCTTGGGAGGTTCATCAAAATTTTATTGCTCTTAGAGCATCTGAAATTTAGAACATCAAATTTTCTAATTAGAAATTCTTTTGAAATTTGATTTGTCTTTACCTACCTTTAACTTACTGTTTTAGATGCAAACCAGAACTTCAAGAAGCAGGAGTTGGGTTCAACAGCAAATTCTTTGTAACTCCCTTAGAGAACCCTTTCCTATCTAAACTTCATCCCACTGTAGCTACTTGTACTGCTTTATCTTTAAGTTGAATTAGGAGAAAAATGTCCTAATTTGAAAAGAGTACGAATGAGCAGTAAAAGGCTAGAAGTCAAGCTGAAGGGGAAAACTCAACTGTCAGGACTTGGATATTACAGAATCATAAATATGGAAAGGACATGAACAATTTAGTCCAATCGCATTTATTCAATGAATATTGAGTAACTTATGTGCCAGATATCGAGTTAGAGCTGTGAAAACAGTCCCAGCACTCAGGTATTTTTCAGTCCAGTAGTGGGAGAAAAGACAAAGTGAAAAGCGTAATTGTGGTCAGTATTTCAAAGGAAAAGTAAAACCAGATAAATGGTGTCTGCTCTCACAAAGCTAGCTGAGGCAGAGCAGAAACTAGAACCAAGGTTTCCAGACTCAACTGTACCCTAGAGAAACCATAGGAATGATTGCAAAACGTCTATACAGAGCACTTCTGTTTTCATGAGCTCTTTACTTCTGCATTTAGAAAAAAAATCTTAATGAAAAAAAATGTTTTTGCATGTTGCCAATTCAAAGAAGAAAAAAACTTGTCCTTTTATAGATGCAATTTCTTTTGAAAATGAATTTAAGTGACAATTTTACTATGATGTTTCCTGTATAGCACAAAAATAGATCAAATCAGTAATGTTATCCACTGTAACATATTCAAGAGTACATTTTTAACAAATATTTTGCTATATATTCTTCTGTATTTTGTTTTAAAATTTTCATCTGTGATGTTGAAAAATCTTACTTGATAGTCTGGTAGCCAAAAATAAATGCAGTCATGTGCCCTCCGTAGATTCTTTTTATTACAAAATTTCAGTGAATAAACCATGTGTGACTTTTTTTTTTTTTTTTAACCATGTACAAACTTCTACTTTGGGATGTAGATAGAAAAAATCTGCAAATTTAAATAAAACTATGATTTCAAGGTCAATAAAAGCTTTAGTAACAGGTTTTTCTTCTTTTCTCACTGTTGTGAAGAAAGTCTGGACCAGGAGAATGAAAATAATTGATTTTAGAGCCAGAAAGGAACTTTAGAAATTATCTTGATTAGTAGCCCCTTTATTTTACATTTGAGGAAATTATGGCCTAGAGAAGTTCTCTTTCCCATCACCAATAATGAATCAGTAGCAGAACAAGGATTAGAAAGTAATTCTGATTCTTTAGGAATATCTTATTTTATTTTAGATTACATGTTAATCTCAGAAAACCCCATAAGTGTACTGTGAAGGCAAAATCTGAATATTTACTAAACTTCAATGGCTTCCCACTGCCACTGGAATCAAATAACTCTTTAAGCTCTGATTTTCGGGAGACTTCACAACATGGTCCAACCTACCTTTTCAGCTTTGGCCCCCTCACTCTCCCACTTCTCTCCATTGCCAAGTTAACCCCCAAAGTCTGCTTTCATTTTTCAAATACCTTGTGCTCTGTTTTTGCTCATTTCCCCTACATTACAATACTACCTATTCTTCACAAAGTCTAGCTTAAATTCCCCCCCTCCCCCACCATGAAGTCTTCTCTTATGGAAATTAGAAACTCTTTGGGATTGTTGACTCTGAACCAGTTAGCATTTATTATGTTGCCATGTTTATTAGTTTTGTTTGCTTAGTTTCTCAGCTAGAATATAGAAAGAATCCTTAAGAGAAACAATATTTTTATTTTTTTCATTCTTTTTTCATCTCCCATCACCACCCTCAAGGTGAATATGCAACTTTACACACATAGAGGGAGTTCAACATTAAAAAAAAATTTTTTTTAGTGTTTGTTTATTCTTGAGAGAGAGGGAGACACAGAATCCGAAGCAGGCTCCAGGCTCTGAGCTGTCAGCACAGAGCCTAATGGGGGGCTCGAACTCATGAACTGTGAGATCATGACCTGAGCCAAAGTCTGAGCCACCCAGGTGCCCCTTAGGTGAGTGATAAAAGAGAGCACTGGAGGCCCTATCATATCAGAATAATCTTTAAAGTAAGAACATGTCTTGTGAAATAATCTTCCTGATACAACAGTCACCCCAACTACTTCCAGTCTTGGCCACCTCTGCTTAACGGCTGGGTTTAGCACCAGAGTACAGTCCACCTTTGAAACGGACTCTCTCAGGATACGCTTGATATTTAGAAATAAGTCAACAGTGGTATTTGTCCTTCGGGCATATTTGAGAACCGCTCGTTATGAGTGTCCTTGAGAAAACCATAAAAAGTGCTGTATAAAGAAAGCTGCCACCTCATCACACCAGTCTGTCCAGTTATAAGGAAAGAGTCAGACAACCATGCTGTTCAGAGAAGGTGCCTGGGGGCTGTCAGCTGCCCTCTGTCCTGGGCCCCATCCCAGAGCATAGGAAGGAACAAGGATGTCACAGGAGGTGCGCCTTTCTCCAAATCAGACCACAAACCCAGAAGGCTTTGCTTCTCCCAAACCAGATCCAGTCCATGAAAGGGATAGCTTGTTCTCTTCGCAAGGAAATTCCCTCCAGCAAGGTCACACCACACAGACTAGCATTTATGATGTCATGTGGTCACCAAACCAGATCTCATCCATTGGGCAAAGGAGACTCTCGGGGCCCATCTGGGAAAAGGCCATCCATGCAGCCATGTGGAGCTCTGGACAACCACTTAACTCTTGACACCCAGTTGTGCCATGGGACCAGGGTGAACCACGAAGACGCTGCAAGTTTGTTTTCTGCCTGACACTTGCACCATTTAATGAACAACTGTAGATGCCAAGGCACGAATGCATCTGGGGTTCAGACAGATTATAATTTCTGACAAAGCCCAAATGACAAAGATAAAGAAACCCTGGCAGTATCCAAGCGTATTTCTACCTAGCTCCAGTCCTGGTTACTTATACACAACCTCCTGTTAATTACAGGTGGATTACATGGAGAAGGGAGGTGTAATAGTCATTTCTGCTTGACTGAGAACAGCATCAGATTGCTTTTCAAGGGAAAAGCTGGCTCCGTCAGTGGACTGTGAAACTCTTGATCATGGGGTTGTGGGTTCAAGCCCCACACTGGGTGTAGAAATTACTTAAAAATAAAATCTAAAAAAAAAAAAAAAAAGAATGCTTTTCAAGGCCAGATCCCTTTCTTCGCTGCACATTATGTGAAAGTCCATCTGCACTTTCCAAGTACACACAAGGAAAGTGGACCAGCAGAGTTTAATAGCCAGCCTAGGTCAATGGTCTAATCTATTACTCACAGTGTGGCAGGGGGACCCACAGAAACCTGGAAGCCTATTAGGAATACAGACTCTTGGGCCCCACCCAAGGCCCACTGAATCAGAATTTTCATTGTCACAGGATCCTTAGGAAATTCATATACAAATTAAACTTTGACAAGTGTTGAAGAGATCTCAGAGTTCTGGTTCCCTGGCCATAAACAAATACCCAATCTCCTTGGGCTTCGTTCTCTTTGCCTACTGAAAAGGAACCACTTAACCCTCCCGTTTCATGCAACTGTTATGAAACCTCATGATAGTAAAAGCACTTTGAAAAGCTAAAATACTCTATGTAAATAAGATTCACTAGCTTTGTGAACTGCAAACAGAAGCCATCTCTGATAGGGTGAGGGGCCTTCCTCACTGAAAACAGAAAGTAACAGTAGCCTCTGTATTTGACTTGGCAGGAAATCACCTGTTTCTTAGGATCACTTGCTATTTATGCATTTTGAACTATAATTTTACTTTCCCAAAGTTCTGCCTTCTGAACAGTCTCTTAAAACTTATGGGACTGTGAATCCTATCCAGCTAATTAGGAATGCGATAAGATCGATCGCATGTGGAAACTTGAAGAGAATCCAGAATGTACCCTGGTCTCAAAGACCGCTTGTCCACACAGGTATCCCTGTTTTCGAGGCTCTTGTGACATCCCTTTTATCATCCCACATCAAAATTGCCATTTCTGGGGAAGTACAGAGGGCACACTTGCAGGTAATGGTACCTCCGG